TCTGTTTATGTCTGTTGGGCAGAGTTTGCTTTGCTAAATCGTCTGGAAGCCGACCAGCCCCCATCAGTAAACCAGGCAGAATGGCCTGTGTATCCTGTTATGGGACCCAGGACATGCCAGGGAGATAACACACACACATACAGACACTGTGTACCTTATTCTCTCTGACTCACATGCACACACGCACTCGCTAATTGACTGACCATCGGAGAGAAAGACAGACAGTCATAAACTTTTGTTTTATTTTTTCTCAGTATTGCAGCTGTTAAGAGTTTCAATCACACTAATGACAAATCGTCATCGTCGTCATTGGTGTGTGAATGTTGTGTGTGAATGGGTGAATGGTGTATGATCTTCTGTAAAGCGCTTTGGCCAGTGCAACACACTGTGAGAAAGCGCTATATAAAATACAGTCCATAAAATACAGTCCATTTACCAAATCATGACAAAGCTCGTCTTATTAAGCTGGGGGTGACAAACAACTTTTCAGAACTGAGTGAAGAGACAAGGCAAACCTCACAGCCTCACTTGCTGCTCACAGAAAGCAAAAAAGACAAACAAAAAGAGAGCTCTTCTAACAGCAAATCTGCCATTTACTCTCTCCCTCTCTCTATTAAGCAAAGAGGGATATAGGTCAGGCCTGTCAGATTAAGGTTTCTGTCATCCCTCCTCCCTGCCCTTCCTGTAGGTAGGTAGGTACTTTATTGATCCCTCAATGGGGAAATTTCAGTGTTTCAGCAGCAATGGAGAACAAACAGCATAACACCATAAGAAACAAACACCACACACATATCTTGTATCACTCCTTGCCTGAAGAAAGAGGTCACATAGCTTTCCATGAAGACCCTCAATATGTGTATAGCAGAGCCCCCCTCCCTATGCAATCTGTACACATCATCCTACTCACCCCTGCACTATTAGAGGGAAGAAACACTCATAGCGTCGACTGCCTTTTGGGGGAAAACAGCGAGGCAAAGGCAGACTATTGTTCCAACAAAACAGTCTATACCACACAAAATATTCACACAATCAAAACTTTTATGGTTCACCCACAGTCTCACTTCTTTAATGAAATTCAGCAAAAGTTTTGCCTTCTAAATAGTGTTTGTGCTAGGTTGTTTTTTAACACTTTGATTAGTGGACTGTGAGTATTGACAGCCTGGTGTGTGTGATCATATAACAAACAGACAGTAGGAAGCTCGATAGCCGTCCCACCCGGCCTCTAATACCATCTGTCTACTATGGATCTCTGGAGGTTGACGGTTGCTGGCTTGGGAGATGTGCACACCACAGGCCTCAAGGGCTGGTAGAACTGAGTTGGAGGAGTTGTATCTGCCCCAATTGAAGCTGTTCAGTCATCTTTACACACAGACTAAGGACCGGTAGAGTATCCCCCTCTTTTTCATGCTCTCTTTCTGCCTTCCTCCCTCCCTCTCTCACTTTCTCTCTCTCACACACACGCGTGCACAGAAAAGCAAGAGTGATCAAACACGACTGTGATGTCTTAATTAAGAAGTACTAACAGGCTTGATTAAAAGGAGAGAATGAAAGGATCCATCAATGAAAGGAACAATTCCCTCATCCGCTAACAGCAACACAAGTGGATGGGAGAGCAGGGAGTGATGGAAAAAACAAGATGCATCAACAAAACAGAAATATGCAAAGAGAGAAGGAGGAGAACTGATGCATGATAAAATAAATGGAGCAGTGAGACTGATATGGCTCCAACCTAATCAAAGTATCTGACAAGCAAAAGTTGAGTGTGAGAAAGCAACACAGGTATTTTTGTTTTCAGACTTTACTAAGGGAGATGCTCGGCTGTCAGAGCAATGCTGCAGCATCTGACCCAACTTTACTTTTGGGTCACGTTCTCTACCATGGATATGAAAACAAACAAACCAGGCCATTACTAGTGACGGGCGGGTCCCTTACTCTCTTTAGCCATACCCTCCGCTCTCCTCTTTATGTCTCCACACTTTAAAAGGATTCAGTTAACCTGAAAGGATTTAAATAAATAGATACTGCCTGTCTTGCTGTTTCTGCCTGATATTCAACTCTTCGATACTCTTGTTTCCTCTGCCCCCTCCGGTTTTTTCTTATCTTCCTCGATCCTTTATTGTGTTGGAGCAACAATTTTACAAAATACATATTAAGGGCAGGGCTAGGGACCCTGTGCTGATATGAAAACATCATTCTTTCAAAGCAACAGTAGGCACAATATGAATTTAAGGGCCAAACCCGCTGTTAAATATATGTTGATCTCCGAATGCCCCAATCAGTCCGAAAAGATCTGACAATTGTTTCATAATAATATTTGACTTGTTTCGCTGTGGCTCATAATAAACATGAAAAGATGCCCAAGGCAATGAGCCTATAGGCACATAATGAGCACTTTATCAGAATAAATTGCTGTGTGAATTGTGCCACTTTATATAGGATGATTACAGTAGCTTAGAGAAACCCGTCCTAAAATGCTCATACATATTTGGTAGCAGAGTAGCAAAGAGAGTTATTTCTGGATACATACACATTTTTTTCTGGATACATCATTTTAATACAATTGGATACAATTGCTTAAACCATAAGTGTAAAGGGGGAACATTTACACATCACTGTAGCTTTACAGGTCTTTTCGAAGTATAAGAACATTGTATAAAGGCTTTGGAGGACCCAGAAGAAGCTATGCAAAGTGTGGTAAACTGCCTCAAGTTTATGTCATTTGAGCCAGTGATGGCTGGGGCTGAAGACTAGAAGTTTAAGAATGACATAAAATCTGGGCTGTGGAATCCAAAAGAAGTGAGCTGTCAGTGGCTGAGATGTGTTGTGGGTAATGAAGGTGCAAGGTTTCGATGAGTAAAAATTGCATGAAATAAAGAAGACAGTCTCTGGTTCTACTGTCGATTTTGATCATTAAAAAAAAAAAGATCATGAGTTAGATAATGTTAAAGGACTGGAGTGCTCTTTAAACATTCAGCTTGGCATAAACAAGCAATAAGTGTTGCTAATAATTAGCATTTCACTGTAATGTATTTACATTAGCTTATATTTTCAAAGTGTTAAACATTTATTTCAAAATCATTCAGAAAACAGAATCTGACTTTCCTTGGCCACAGAAATTACTCATATCATATATCATATTGCAGCTACAAACTTCTGTTCTGTCCCCCTCTTCTGTTACAGAGGCAGCAGACACACCTCAGCCCAGCTGACAGCCCACAGCCTGACTCTGTGCTGCTGCATAGCTCAGCACATCTGTCTGTTGTCAGTGTCTTTCGATCTTCTCTCTCTCTGCCTTGCTCCCAGCCTTGTGCCTACTCAGCATAATAATGATCTACACCTCTGCCTGGTAATCTCTTCGTCTCTGGTATGACAACATATAAGACTTATGCTTAGATATTAGGCCTATATCATCCTTAGGGAAAAGAGTAACAGTGGACCTGGAGCAGTGTAAATCCCCAGTCTTCAGTTTAACCTTCTTAGCATCAAATAAATCATAAAAAGGACTTGAGTTAAACAGTTGGAGCTCCCTCTATGGGGCAGTATCTTTACAGGGACATACTTGTGTCAGCATTTCATCTTAATATTGGCGTCGTGTTGACATGCAGCAGATGAATATTAAACCATGAGAAACAAAGATGTGCTTGAAGCAAACCCTGCATAAATAATTTTCATTTGCGCACATACACACGCTCACACAATCTTGAGCATCCCTCCCAGCAGGCACAATCATACTCAAGCAGATAATTCGGTGTCACAGGACGCCTTGTCGCTGACCCCCTGGCCCCCTCCAGACAGAGGAAGCAGCTGGACAGGGACCCACGGCTGCCAGCAATTCTCTTCTCCCAGGGAGCTCTAAGGAGAAGAGTCCCTCTCTGCCTCAGAGGGTGACCAGCTGAGCTTCCACAGCTCAGGCTGTGACTGCGTTGTTACAGCATGTCCCTGTGTCCAGGAAGGGCTCAGTAGGATGAGCAAGCCTTAGAAATGTGCAGCAGCACGACTTTTTGTTAAGAGTCAGGCAACTGATGAAAAATATGTCACAACCAATTTAGTTTTTCCCTCTGGTCAGATTTCTGCGAAGTTCCTGCTTTTACCAGGTTACTACCCCGTGCTCTGGGCTGTTTAAAGAGTGCAGTTTTTCATATGCGCTTGTGTTTGACCTGCTTGTCAGAGGTGGCAACTGTATTACTTAACCTAATTTTTTTTTTAGCATTGTTTTTTTTAAATTTTGTATACAAAACAAACCCACACCTAGAGCTCTTTACTGCCATAAAATATTTCACCTATAAGTCCTTGTCATGCACATGTGCTCCCATAGAACCAGCTTAAATGTATGAACCAGGAATTTGATTACTTGAGTAGAAATTTGCCAGAGCTGTGCTAATCAGTGCTCTCTTAATCTTTTACGCAGTAACAGAAGCCCCATTTATATGATTTTGGTTATTGCAGAAAGATGACAATAATGTAAACCCCCACCACACACACACACACACACACACACACACACACAGTGTACTCAGTAGCGAGCATGTAAGTGCTTATTAATATTGTATGGTTAAATGGGAAATACTATTTTTTTCAGTTGCCTTAGTAGCCTGATGAAATATTAAACAATGTGAGCTTTTGTTTTACCATAATACTAAGAAAACGCAAACATGAAATTAGTTTTTAAGAGAATCAGGCATGTCATTACTGAGGTCAGAATTTAGGAAATTATCTCCGTTTAAAGCACATGTACAAACATTCTATATGTAGTTCATCCAGTTAAATTTGTTTCTACAGAGACGCAGCTTTACACACTATTCATGCAATGCTGTTGTTGCAGTGCTGCACAGCCACAGCTAAGACACTGTAAGCCACCGATGCCTTGTTAGTTATAAAACAGTAAACTTAATCTGAAGGTGAAACATCTAAGACTGGAAAGTATTTTATATGAGCCTTGTTAAGTTAGCATAAATGAACTACAACCACTTTTTAAAACAAAAAGTTAAATATCAGCTTTATTGAAAAATGGTTGACAACAAAGTAATGTACTGTATAAACAAAGTGGAAGAGTCAGTCTGGGTTTGAGTCACTGTGAGATTCAAATGATCCGTCTGGTTGGGCTTTCACTGAGGGTCCCAAAGCTATGCAGTGGCCAGAGCTGTGCAAGACAACGGGCACAAAGAAACAATGGGTTAAAAGGTGATAAAATAAAGGACACAAAACCATTACGTAGAACATGTTGTCACTTCTTGGACACATTTGCTAATATGGCTTTTAATGATGCATTTGACTTAATAGAAGATCTTGTTATTTCATCAGCTGTTGTAGCGGGGCCTCCAGTGAAGTACCGCCGTCCAATCAGACAGAAGGCTGACTGACCTGTTTCCAGGGTCATGCATGCTATGACATCCAGTGACATGACAACACAGCAGAATGGAAAGCTAGACAATATGTTGTCCAGGCTTTGGTCAATCAGACACACTTGCATTCAACTTCCAACTGACTCACAGCTCTGAAATGTGCTTAAAATGACTAAAATAAAAAAGAAAAAGAAAAAACAAAACATAGATGGCTTGGCCAGAAGCTCAACATCTAATACCGTTAGAACCCATACAGTGAGAAATTTAATCTAAGCTAGTTTTCAAAATTTGGAAAAGAACATCTTTATCTTTTTTTATTTTAAAAATACATGACAACATACTGTAAAGCCTGCCTCCCCTGTACCTTTAAGCAAATACGCCCTCGGATGAGGGCATAGGGAACTGGGCCATAGCTCCTGGAGTCAGTGGAATTCCTAAGGTTATCCCCTTCTAGCCACACATGGCCTTTTGGAACCTAAAAACATACCCACACATGGGAAGAAGGCAAAAAATGATTAAGATGTTGAGTGTTTTATTGCAGAACAAACAAATCAAACAGAAAGCAAAACTCTAAAATTGCAGCACTACTTACTATTAACATGTCAAAGTCAGCTGATCTATTAAGTGGTCAGACTCTACCTTTTCCAAACCCCCTACCCCCAACGAGACACCTCAGCCATCCCTCCCTCCTCAGCCTATTTTAACATCAACCTGCCTGTCCCTCTTTAACCTCGTACCGTCTTAGAAGAGGGGTCATGGGTAACGGGCAGGGTCGGGGGGGATTTAGAAGGACTTCAAATAGAGTCATTAGGCTGTTGCCTGAGATCTGCGCCCCTCTTACCCACAGAGGGAAAAGCCAGAGAGGGGGCTGAGATAGCTGGGCAGAGAGAGAAAGAGGGAGATAGAGAGGGCTAAGCTGCAGCTAGCAGCAGTGTCCAAGGGTCTCTCCACCGTGGCCTGACCTGCCAGTGGGGCGGTCATCCATGCGGGCATTAATTCACAGTGACACCAATTATGATTAATCTCATCACTTTAGGAGAGTAGGCTTGTCAAGGTCCTAATTAAGTGCACTGTCCCCCCCTATATGTGCAGACAGGATCAACAACACATTATATTGTCATAATGGGCATCACAGTCCACAAGTCTATTTTTGTGTTGTCTAACTTTTTAACAGCTAAATTCCGCTGGAGAAAACATGAATAAAGGAAGAAAATATTATTTACACTGAGGTGACGTCACATCTTTGCCTCAGCTCGTATTCCTCGTTCTTATCACCCTCCGATTATAGTCCTACTGTGGGATTCTGTGTTTGTTTCATATTCAATAATTGAGACAGATGATGTGACATAATCATAAGCCAGTGACATGTTGACCTAACATGAGGTAAACAACTCACTGAATAACGACGACACAAATGAATATCATTACAGGAGTCATCTGAGAACCATATGTCAGCATGCTGGATTCCCACCATTACACCTCATTAACATGGTAACATATGCTGGCTCCCAAGCACAGGAAAAAGAACACCACTGTTTGTCAGCTGCCAAACCAGAACCCCCTGTTGCGCCTCATCTTCCTTAAAAAAAAAAAAAAAAGAAAAAATCATCTTATACTCATTCTAAAGACAGGTCTGTCTAAGGACAGCCTCAACACACACACACACACACACACACACACACACACACACTTTATTTCTTGAAAAGGGAGAAAAATTCATATTCATTCCTTAGAACGCTTCAGTTCTATTCCAATCCAGCCTGACCGAAAACACCTAGATGGCCAATCAATCCAACAAACATTCACAAAAGATGGGACTTTCATTCTGAGTCTCTTGAAACAAATTACCTCATAAGCTTGAGCCTGACTAAAGACAAGACTACGGTACTTTAAAGATCAACCAGGCAGAGTTTCAGAAGAGTGGGAAGTGAAGAGGTCTGAAACCTGACCCGCTGCACCGTGGCCAGCACGAGGACAAAAAGCTTATGCCTATCACCTTGCAAGTCGCAGGTGTGTGAACAAGTAAAAAAAAAAAAAACAATGTAGTAAGTCAAAGGCAAAAAGCTCTGGATTAAAACCAGATTGCAGAAAAACAGTGCTATAAACAGATAAAGTGCCATCTGTGACATCTGCAGCTTGAAGCACATAGCCACAAAACCATGATGCTCAGAGTGCCACAAGAATGACGTATTTTTGCAGGCCAGCCCGGAAGTTAGCATCACCCTGTTTCCTTTGGCAAAGAGCCAATGGGATTTTTACAAAGGCTTTTGGATTATTGCAGAAAATAAGCTTTGTGACAAACAACAGTTTATGACACCGACATGTTTTGTTCAACAAGTTAGCCTTCACAAATCAACACCACTTTTATGATTTTTGAAGCCCACAAATGATCAACGGACAAAGCTATTGTTACACTATAAACTACATCACGGACCCATGACTTCAACATGACCACCATGACTTCCTAATTTGATTTAATACACTTACCTCTTCTACAAAATCCTTTCCTCTTAGTGTGACCTAGTGATCATGGATGTACAAGTTGGAATATTTTGCAAGTGTGCAAGCTTAAACATAAGGCTGTAAAGGTGGGGTATTTACTGACTTTTTTTCATAAAACAAAAAATGAAAGTGTGCTGGTCTTGTGTTAACTACAGACCTTGTTTTAGGCATCTAACCAAAGACCCATAAAAAAACAAAAACAAACAAAAAACTAACACAACAAAACAAAACTTCAGACTTCAGAGATATATGTCTATGGATCCAGGACAGAGGAATTGCAAGTGCAAAAATGCTAACTCAGGTCCAGGTTTTATGACTCACTTCTACACTACTTTATTGAATTTCTTGAATGCATATCTATGCCTTCTTTAAAAAGTTTCTCAGCAGACAAGGTGGAGAGGAGAGGTCAGAACAGTCATTCATACAGTAAACAGTATCACCATGTGTGATACTGACAGTGGAACAGATGAAACGTCATCAATATCCACACAGATCCATGTAAACCCTACACCGAGCTGCTGCATCTAGACATGCAGTTACTCTGAACTGCTCTGCTGGCGACTCTGGTGTGATGTATGGCAGAGACTGTACCCGTCTTGTGGTTGTAGGGATTGGCTGACGTGAGGCATTGTGTACCTGTCAGAGACGCCTTGAGAAGAGCTGAAACTGGAGCTCTCCTCACTGTGGAGGTGTGTTGTTTAACAGCTACACCATTACAGTGCTCATTATGTTAACATGATTGAGATAGTGAATTATGCTCAGCTTAAATACGCACAGGCTTACAAAGTTTGTCTTTCACCATATTGCTCTGTCGATCTTTACTGCAAAGAACAGAAGGCATCTCTGTCACCTTCTCTCGCTCACTCTCTGCTTGCTGTAATATTAGGGATCAAATGTCATTGTTTTGACACAATAGCTCAGACACAGAAATGATTCCTAAAAGGTGACATGGCAATTAGTCTCCTGTTGGATCTCTGAGGAGAGAGAGGACCTGTCCGTCTGTCAGAACAAAAAAGGAGGTGATGACAGGGTCTAACACCACCTTGCAAAATTCATCTTTACAGATCCACCCATAATCCTTTACACCATCCTAACAGTAATACACAAACACATATATCCTCTGAAGGGGGGTTACCCTGAGGGATCCCAGACATTTATGTGAACAGCGGGTATTTTCTCAGTTGCCTCATATGTTGTCACACAAAGCCAGTGATTTTTTGCTTCTGGGTGTAAAAAAAAACGTCAAAGCACATATTAGGCTGTATAAAAAAAAAAAATAAAAAAAAAATGCTTAGTGACTCCAACGTTTGTGAAGCTGATAACTGGAACAGTCTGGAGTAGCAAAACAAAGTACTGTATATATGAAACATTTCCCCTAGTTTTCACGATCTTGGTGGCAAAATATAAAACTCAACCTCATCTGTTTGCATCTGTAAATGGAGTCTCAAGGGAAGGAACTGTCCCATCCTGAAAACAAAATAAACAAAAAGAAAAATATCACTTTTTAGT